TCTCTCTTCACCACGACGGACCGGTACAGCCCCCGCTTTACAGCAGACGCTGCGCCAATCCGCCTGTCGATCTCCCGCTCCCTTCTTCCCCGATTCGTGAACACGATCCCCAGATACTTAAACTTGTCCACTTGAGGCAGGARGACTCCCCTGACCCGTAGATGGCYCTCTACCCTTTTCCGGCTCAAGACCATGGCCTCGGATTTGGAGGCACTGAGCCTCATCCCGGCCTCATACCACAATTAATCGTGATTAATATTTTAGTCAATATTGCCCAATCCTAGAATATAGGCGGAGGTTCTTGGGTGGGCGGAGTTTGGCAAAACCATGTTTGCTTGGGCTTATCTTGTTGAGCAGGTTAAAAGATGAACAATGTCATAGTACAATTATTGTAAACAATTTAATAACTTCAAATTTGATGTGACTAGCACCTTCCTGTCTCGAGTTATGACTAAAATTAATATTTAGATTTAAAGTTACAGGTGTTTTCTGGTTCTTTTGAATGAGCTACAAGTTACCCCTGCTGCCCTATGTTCATCCAATCTTTATTCTTCTTCAAACCCCACCCAAAATAATCAATCCGACCAATCATGTTTTGGACAAACACCTGCCACACAAGAAGAAACTCCCACTTAAGGCCTCCACATACTCCATTCGGAGCCAAACGGTTGCGTTAATTTTTGCACACACCTTCCATGGCCCCTCAGACACACACCACCGAGCTCCAGGGAGACCCCTCCCGCTGTGGTATTTGTCACTGCACAGGTTTTCTTCTTCTTTGATCCACCATTATTTGTCCACAAAACTGTTTTATCTCCACTCATGAGTTTTTAGCCATTTGACTAACTTTATAAATGTCTGCTTCTGGGTACAACCGTCGGCTTCTGGAAGTGAGTAGTTTCCACGAACTCTACGTTCTTATGTGGAGGTAAAAAAAGTTCTCCCAGCAGGTTGTGACAAGAATGAGTGGAAGACTCGAAGCTGCAAACTGAATGACGCAACAATGAGAGGCAATGTAGGCAGTTCAGATGAACCATGCAGAGGCCTTTAGTGGTTGCAGAGACCCCCTTCRCAAATGTTTAGCAGTTGTAATGTATTCTGACTTCAGGTTGTTTTACATTAAATGATACAAAAGTGCCTGAAAACCAAGTCAATATGATTATTTGGAAGTCAAATGTTTTGTTCTTTTACCACCAGTTATAAGCAGCATTATTCTTAAATCTCTGAAGCGAAACTTGCATTTCTGTTGGTAGTTTTTTGGTTAAACAGAACATTTAAGCCAAAGTTATCCTCATTTACAAAAACCAACAATACACAAAATAATTATGTATTTATGTTTGAGTTCAACAGTTCAAGTCAGTGTACAAATACAATGTTTAGTTGCAAAATCTTTCCCATTATTTCAATGAAGTCATTTAGCAGATGCTCTAGTGTTTATAGTTAATTCACCAAGTAATTTACTCCTGTGTAATCCTAATCATGCAATGAAACTGCTGTTTCTCAGATTAACACAAAGTTAAAAAGACTCTTGTGTTTTCTCGGAGCATGTTTTTTTTTCCTGTCAGGGTTTCCCGACTGAAGCTTAATCATTTCCATGTTCTCAAGATCAGTTTGGATGAAGAATCATCTTGTCCTCCCAAGTCCCTCAAAATGGCARGAAAATTTGATGTCTCCTCTGCCAGCAGTGTTCCTGTGCGGATGAGAGAAATCTTAAAATTGCCGTTAAATTGCAGGATTTTGACTGTAATATCGGTAATCATGTCGTAAGAGTGGTTTTCTCCCGTTTTTTTTTCCCCCACCCGAACATGTGAAGTCTGATTTTTGAGGAGTAGTCCTGCTTTATTAAAGCCTTAAAGTATTTAAAGTGAATCAGCCGAAGCAGGTCTCCCCTGCTCTGAGGTCTGGTGGACACATCAACACYGAGCAGATCCGTGCGAGATGCCCCGTTGGCTGAAAGTGATCCTCCTGCCTGGCTGCTGTCCCGGACCCTGCAGGCTTCACACACACACATACACACACACACACGTAGACACACACAAACACAAGAGAGAGTGTATACACGCAAACATATGTTGTTTCACACGTTTTAGTCAACCTGCTGGTTCCAGTTCCCATCTCCTCGCTTCACAACAGTTTAGCTCCTCTACGTGTTTTCTGAAGCAGCAGGTAAAGCTGTTTGTGGGTCGGACAGTCCTGATGTACGGGGTCATTAAATCTGCCCGTAGCGCGCAGCGGTCGCTAATGCACTCTGTTTCTGTGTGTGTTTGTGTGCAGCTTGACAGAAAGAGCTCAGCTGTTGAAGAACGTCTTCAAGAAGAGCACAGTCAGTATGTACCGGTCCGACTCCATGCAGCAGAACCTGCTCCGTGAGTTCCTCGCAGAATCACATCTCTCTCTATTCTTTCTGTCCAAATCAGTTTCTGTGTTTGTGTAGCCTGAATGCATAGGTCACCTCAGTGACGTTTTGTATTGTTACACAGGAAAAGCTTAAAATATCCTGATGAGCAGAATATTTACAGTGGGGGAAAAAATAATTTTYAACCAAGAAGTAAGCTCCAGCTGGGCTGCCATCTCATATTTTTTTTATTTAACCATCTTGTTGTTGTTTTTATAACTTTTAACCCTTAAATGTGGAGACAACAGACCACTGTAAGAACAGCAGTTTACTGTCAAACATCATATTATCCTTTATCAGGGAGGAATTTGAGAACCAGCAGCTTTTTTTTTTCCAGAGCAGCTCATAAACTGGTTTTAATTGGCTGTTATTTGACGCTTGTTTTGTTGTTAGTGAAAATGCTTTCCTGTTTAATATCTTTAAAAGCACAAGTTTTTCTAAAGGCCCTGTCACACTTGACAACTTATGCCAACTTATGAAACGTTTTTTATGTCTAAATTGCTAATAGAAATAAATTTGATCAATTTGTTAGAATTACATTATGTACACGCCGAAAAGTAGCTTCCTGTTGATTTTTTCAATTCCATCTTCAATGTAGATGTCAGTTTTTATTTTATTTTATTTTTTGTTTTTGTTTATTTTTTTGGTCCAGTATAAAACAAGCAGCTCTAACTGTGTTTGTTTCTCTCAAATCTGGACCTGAATCAGAAAGGACAGGGCTCAGTAAAGTTGCCAAAAATCTATCAGATTTTTTTTTCTGTTTCGATGGTGAAAAGTTCCAGGCATAAATGTAAAATCACTGGTCGGGTCTTGTAACATTAAAACGATTCCTGTCTCCATGAGAAAGCAAAAAATAAAAAACAATCTGCTCCCAGTGGAGCCTGAAACCATTCAGAGTAAAATCCTTTACTTTTAATTCTAAAAAGGTCCAATCTTAGCCGTCAGGATAAAACTGCCCGGTGGTTTTCTTGGCGTGGGGTTTTAGGTTTTCTGTTTTTCTTTGTTTTGTTTGTATTTTTTGTGTGTGTCATTTGTCTGATCAGTTTGTTTTTTGTTTGTCTCGTAGGTGGGGATGGGATCGTTGTTGTGTGAAACCTTTTTTTTAAACTCATTATTCAAACCTCATCCTGCTGTAATCTCAGCTCCTCTGTAGCTGCCCGGTAGACGCCACTCTCCTTTCCGTTTGTGTCGTTTTTTTATTTTTATTTTTTATTTCCTGTCCTTCCTCCTRGTGTGTCTCCGTGTGTCCTGAGTTCAGCTCAGTAGAGCCAGATAACCATGAAATGATGAAATGTTGCYCTGTTATTCCCCCCACTCACAATGCACTCTCACACCAGCGGGGTCCTTTGAACTGGCCCGCTGGCCTCCAGCTACTGAGCAAGTCATTTGACACCTGAAGGTGAGTCAGGGGTCAGAGGTCAAGTGAGACCCTGAGTGTAGGTGTAGATGATGGAGCAGCTTTTACACTTCAGATAAACCTCATGGGGGGAGCTGATTGCCATGTTTGTGTTTTAGACTCTATACTTGTTTGGTTTTTTGGTTTTCACTCAGAGTCTTTGGGAAATCAGCTTTTTTTTTAACTAAGAAAAACTCATCTGTTAAACTAAGAACACAAAATGTCTTCAAAGCACTGTTTTCATTTGATTTTGACATGTTTTAGTTCTGAGTTCAACGGCTGGTTAGGTTGTGTTATCTGCGGTTTGGAAAACTGATACAGAAGAAGAAGAAAAGCTCCGAAAACGATGCAGAGGAGGAGAGAAAAGCAAAAAGGAAGATGACTTTAAGTTGATTAAATGAATTCAGCTGCATCTCTTTCCCCATCAAGCAGCATTATTATCTATCGTTATATCATCACTGCTAAAATACACTTTCTGCACATCTGAGAAGTTTGTCTCCATCCATAATTCTGACAGCCTGAAAAAAAAAAAAGTTCAATATTTTCCTAATAAATCTTGTGAAATTCTCGCGCTTCGATTTGACTTTAAGTGTTCTCATGTGCTGGCTGGCTCTGAACTTGCTCTCGYGTCTCTGTTCACACGTGTTCACGTCACAGTGGGAGATTTTCTGCTGCAGAGACGGTTTCACRGCGTGAAATACAAGAGATGGAGAATCTGTGAACACGGCACAGGAAGCGGGACGTGATTTGAAAAACGTGCTGTGGAAATCCATGTTTTTTTTTTTTAAAAAAAGCTCATTTCCCAAACTTTTTTGATTCAGTGCACATATTTCACGTGTGTTTATTGTATTGCGCTTTGATGTTTTCGGCTCGTTTTAACCCGTTTCCGCTCGTTTTCAGACGGCTACGCCTTTTCTCAAGATGAGAARGGGGTCGTGTCCCAGTCTGAGGTCATCAGAGCGTACGACACGACCAAACAGAGGACCAACGAGTGGTGAGCCCGCCCGGCCTTCCTGCTCCAGGCCCCTGACGCTTTGGAGCCACAGCTGCTGTTTCCACTGCTGATCAAAGCTGCGAGTGTACACTTCCACCTCCGAGGGAAGTCATGGACATAAGTTTGGATGACGTGAAAGAGACAATGAGTCATATTTTTAAAAAAAAAGTGAAACGGGGTTAAAAAAAACACAAGGAACAAAACAAAACGTGTTCACTATCAGCTGTATTTGTTTGTCCAGCAGACGTATTGAGCACTGTGCGTTCTTAATATTCTGTGGTCTGAACTTCTTCACTGTTCTCGCTCACTCCGTCGGAGCGAACCTCTCCTTAATTATTGAATGACAGCTTTCAGCACTGAGCCACCGAGCCTAAAGCCCGTCGTATGAAACCACTTTTAAGCACTGTAAAAGTTAAAAACACCAAACYAACGGCTTAAAGCAGGATTGCCAAAGAGCAGTCGTCGCCACAATCGTCCAAGCACCTGTGAATTGGGAGAACCTTCAAAACGGAACCAAACGTGTTCCCACGCCCAACAGACCACTCCCCGAGCAAATGTTTGTAAGCTTTTTCATTTTCTTCGTGCACTTACGTGAGCGTCTCTCGTGTGAAGCCTTACATTTGCTCACGCCTTCATCCTTTCTTTTAAAATGTGTTCTTTTTTATTCAACTTTTAGACGTCGTGCCTGGTTTGCTTCTTTACTTTTAATTATTTTGTGTTTTTTAAATATTTTAGTCTTGCAACCAGTTGTAGTTTTATATAGAGCTGGGTGGTATGACCAAAATTTTCTATCACGGTATTTTTAACATTTTCACCGGTTTCACGGTTTTTGACGGTATTTTTCTTTTCATCACAGCTCAGCTGATAATAAAATGTATAAACACTGCTTATTTACTTTTTTCTTTTACTGTAACTCTGTCGCTGTTTCCCTCCTCTATGTGTTTTTTCTCTGACTGGTGGTTGGAGACAGTAGTCACGCATTTTGGTCCAGTCATGAAGGAGGAGGGTTAAGAAAAGATTATGATCGGTTCTATTGTTTTGTTATTTAATAAAGCTTATCAGCACGACTCACCTTGCACACCAGTTAATTCCAATTCTACTACAAACTACTTCCCCCAGGCTTTTCACAATAGAACCACGTTAAGTCTCCATCTGCATAATGTCTCCATATTAACTAACCACGCGTTAAATCTAACCATGCACGTCACTGAAGATATGTTTACTACATTCAGCGATGGCGAAAACTGGATGTTTTTTTTTAACGTCAGTCAATATAAGCAGCGGAATCGCCACCCGTGGCTGCAACTAGCTGCTCCAAACATTAGCATGCTAACGCACATAGTGGTGCTGCGAGGAAAAGTGTCCACCAGGAAACAGTTCACTGGCGGCCGCGACAAAACGTTCCGCACGTGTTCAGGCTGTTTAAACCGGTATGTCCGGTATTCAGAAAATTCATATCATAACAAAAATAAAAATTGGTATTCGGTACAAAACGATATACCACCCAGCACTAGTTTTATATCCACCGTTTTTGTTGTTGTTAACAGCCGAAGTGCGGCGCTGCATTCCACAGATCGCTCCCGCTTTCACACTCACAGCGGTGCCTACCTGAAAACATCCCCTCTTTAGAAGACAGAGACAGCCAGGACTAGTTTAGTGCTTCGTGCGAACTCACAAAGACACCGTCACTGTCTCCCCACCGCAGTATTGCACTCCTACAGTGTTAAAATTACAGATTTGTTCCAGCAAAGGAGGAAACTCACAGTGACTGTAGTGTTTCCTACAAAAAAAAAAAAAAAAAAAAAAAAAAGAAAAAAATGGAGATTTTTATCCCTCTTCTAACATAAGTGCCATTAGCTTAAGGGAGAGAGAAATCTTAGCCAGGAAACTCCGCGACAGTATCGAAACTACTTTGTCTCTGTAGTTATTTTGTGGATTTGTATTTTTATATTGGAGATATATGACTTTTGCATTGATTGGCTTTGTAATGACTCGTCTGTAATGTTACATTTTTATTTTATTTTATTTTTTCTTGGATAAACTGGCAGGATGAAGAAAATGTAATGAGGAACTGTCTTGTTATTAATATGAATATCGTTACAGCTTGATTTGTTTATATTTAACTACTTATTGTCCGTGTGATTGCTTTCTTCTCCCTATGGGAGATCAGGTTTCTGAGTGTGTGTGTGTTTGTGTGTGTGTGTGGGTTCATAGCCTGCATGTGCATGTGCTGTATGTGTGAATGAGTTGTGTCACTACTGTGGATAACGTCTCTATTCGCTGCATGAGTGAGTCCTCTGTGTGAGACGGGGAGTTTAAGACGTCTCGGTGTTTATTTAATTTTTTTAAATTGTGTGTGTGTGTGTGTGTGTGTGTGTGTGTGTGTGTGTGTGTGTGTGTGGTGATGCTTGCATGTTGTCTGTCTGCACGACTTCAGGTATAGTTATGATTTCTCTCTGTGCTGATGCATGGCCCATATGAGAAAAGTGAGCCTGTCGGTGTGTGTATGTGTGTGTGTTTGTGTTTGTGTTCAGACTCGCGGCTTTAACAGAAAGTGTTGCACAACGCACTCGATGTACCTTTTACAGTCATGGATAACTGCTATTATTAAGTTTTTTGGTTTTAATTTCTAAAAATGTTTGTAACTTGTTCTTTCTTCATGCAGTGTACCTCTACTCTACAGGAATGCTCTTCTATGTTTATAGTTTCCAGTTCTTTTTATTTAATTTTTTTCTCTGCTTCTTATTGGTGTGAACACTTAACTGTCCAAACTTTCCAAACTGCTGAATGTAGATGTCGTCGTCGTAGAAGGCTTGGACTGTTGCTTCGTTTTATTTTTTGTTTTTTGGGGGTTTTTTTTCCAGAAAACATTAAACTCTGTTGTCCGTGAAGGCTGCATGAATGGAAAACACAACCTGTTCTTTGAAGTGTTAACTGTTCCGCTTTGATTCCCCCTCAAGTGTTGATCACTTTGCAAAAGAGGAAGAAAAAAAAAACAGTAACTCACCTTTTAACTTTTCTTTTTAATATCTGTTTATTTTATGTTCTTTTGTTCAATGATTGTTCTGCATGTTGGGACTGCAAACTTGTAAGTGTTGTCTTTTACTGCCATGAAGAACTGCTGAAATAAACTACAGTCATGGAGGAACCATGTGTTTAGCCTTCACTCTGTAGTCATCTTTTTTACCTGCTTTTCCTGTTTGGGTGGTGGGGGAACCGGTGCCTATTTCAATCAGAGAGGAGGGGGACAACTTGGACAAGTCCATCACTGGGATACATAAAGACAAATGAGTCAACGATTCACTCTCTCAGTCTCTCGCACCAAAGGTCAGTTTGGAGTTGCTAGTTAACCTAACATGTATGTTTAATGATCCGGTTTCTCTTTATTCTTTGTTTTTTCTTCCATACACTTTTAACTAGGGCTGCAACGATACAGGAAATTCATGGTTCGGTCCGGTTTGATACTTTAGTCTCACGGTTCGATATTTTTTCGATACAAAAAAGAGAAATGTCCATGCCTTTTAAC